CATATTTATTCAACCCAAACCTGGTTGGTGTATCCATATACCCAACAACCACCACCACCTTGAATTGCACCCAGAAGCAAATCAGTAGGTGATACATGTGCACACTGGGGCCTGTACAAAACCATGTGGGCCACAGCATTTTCCCACCAACTGGAGTTTTCAAATGCTCTTCAAAGGCAGCCCCATGTAGAGCATGTTGCAATAGTCAAGTTGGGAAGTGACTAGGGCATGAATGACTGTGAATAGGGATTGTTGGTCCTGGACATAACTGGCGCACAACCCACAGTTGCGCAAAGACTGTCCTGGCCACGACCGCCACCTGCTCTTTGAGCAGGAGTCGTGAGTCCAGGAGAACCCCCAGATTATGCACAGGGTCTGTTTGGGGTAGTGCCACCCCACCCAAGACCAAAGGTGGCAATTCTCCCATAGCCAATGAACCTCAAACTCAGGGCCATTCGATCTTGCCAGGGTTTAGTTTCAATCCATTGTTTCCCATCCAGCCCCTAACAGCCTCCAGGTACTGTGAGTGGGAGGGCACCATGGGCCGAAGCATACAGCTGAGTATCATCGGCATAGTGGTGATACCTCAGTCCATGGTGACAGATGATCTCACGCAGCAGCTTCGTATAAATGATGAACAGGAGCAGAGAGAGTACCGAGCCCTGCGAAACCCCGCAAAGCAGTGGACAAGGGCTGGATCTCTCCCCTCCTATCAACACTGACTGAGAGCAGCCACAGAGGAAGGAAGTGAACCAGGATAGCACAAGGCCTCCCACTCTCATCCCCTGAAGCCGCTCCAGGAGAATAATATGGTCGATGGTATCGAAAGCCATGAGAGGTCAAATAGAGCAAGGATGCATGCACTACCCCCATCCTGGGCCCACCAGAGATCATCCAAAAGTGCAAACAATGCCATTTCTGTCCCAAATCCAGACCTGAATCCTGACTGGTGGGGCTGTAAATAATTTGTTTCATCAACAACCTTCCAACCAGGTAAATGACAAGGTAAATGAGGTGAGTGCAAGGGAGCAGAACACAAGACCAGTATTAAACACCAAGGTGCCTGCCTGTGCCTGCTCCCCCCCCTTGCCGTCCATATCTCTCGTTACCCAACACCACTAAAATAGGTCACCCTCCTCTGCCTTTCCTAAGAACCATTCCACCCCCCCATCCTCAGCACTCTTCCTTAAAAAGGGAAAAACCTCCTACAACTGACAAACTGTCATGGGCAAGGTGAGCCTTACAGGCGCTTGGTCTTGGCGCCCTCAAACTCACACTATCCCTTCCTCATTGCCGCAGAGGGGTCACGTCCAGCACCCCCTTATCTCCCAACACACTTATAATACATTTACTCAATGCACAAATGGCACCCTGCCCAGTCGCTCTTACCCACCAAACAGGAAGCCACTTCTCCCCCACAGCTCTCACCCGGGGAGAGGAACCAACACATTCACCTCTCACCCAACTTTCCCTTCCAGCCCCAGGATTCCCCAAGCAGCCTTCCCAGGCCTGATTATAGAACATTCAGAAGATTCTAGAAAGTAGTCAAAAGGCCTGTTATGCTGCGCTAGAAATTGTAGCAGCTATGTAGTCCTACGATGTCTCCTGAAATTCACAGAGTTCCAGGCTCCCACTTGCCGCAAAAAAATCCCAGTGGCACCTGCCACTCTCCACAGTGTTATTAACCACATGAATAGGCCCAGGTGCCTACAAAGGCTAGTGAAGCTTGTTTCTTCTGTCAGCTGTGCCTCCATCAGAAGATCTACGCCATCATTCAGAACTGCAGCTGCTGGCTCTTGGGTTCTCAAACCAGGATTTAGCTTCAGCTGATTACTGCACACTAAGACAGTTCAAAGAGATCCAAGGGGAGTCCAAGGAAACCAGACAATCATAAATCATCCACCTCCTTGCTCCATCTCTCCTTCCAGCTGCCCTTTTCCTACCTCTCCATTCTTCAACCTCTCGGCCATTCTGTTTTTTCACCTCTCCGTTTTTTTTCAACAAATCTTCAGCCTCCCAGTAAGCTTATTATGCTTGTTTCCCTCTTTCCTTTCTCTAAACACTCCTCCACTTCCACATGCCAATCTCTACATTCCAAACTTTCCAAAACCCTCTCTGCACAACACTTCAGAGCACCATCTACAAACACATGCAGCCGCAGCCGCCATCTTAAAAAAGAAAAAAAGAAAAAGGAAAGTGTGTGCCTTTTTAATTATTATGCCAGACTTATTAAGAACTATCCTCTCTTAACTCTGAGTTCATTCTGTGATGAAAATAAAAAGAGAAGAGTGTATGGGCCGAAGGTAGTAAGGTGTGAGCTGCTCCCTCACAAATATAGTCTGCTGAGGCAAGAGTTTTATTTGTGCCTGTGCAGACAGGCAAGCAAAAAAGAGCAGCCTTGACATAGAAGGAGTGAAAGTGAGTGAATATCAGCCCCTGCTCCCTTCTAATCGAATGAACTGTGATTGTGTGGGAAATAAAATAAATGCAGACTATCTCAGCAAAGATAGTACTGGTGGATCAGGGTGGACTGAAGAATTCCGCACCACAACATGGCTAGTTCAGAGTAGCCTATAATAATGCATTCTTAGTAAAATTGTACCTGAAATGTGTGGTTGAACAGCAGACCCTTGTTACTAAATGTGGAGGCTTTAAGAACTAAGAGTCAGGGCTGACTGACAACCCCACATAAATGATGGATATCAGAGAAGGGATTCCAGGAGGATTAAATCAACCAACAGAATTCTGTTGTGAGTGTGCGAAAGAAAATAAGTATGAAGATACAACTCAAGCTCAATTAGGCAGAGCATGCTCTAGTAACTTCCTTCAAACAAGGCTGGGAAATAAAGTGTGATCACAATTAAGATAAAATAAAAAAAAAGATTAAAATAAAAAAGTAATACAGACAGACCAGGTTCCGTATATGGTATAGCTATCCCACAACCAAACAGCACCTCTATATTTTAACCATACAAATTAGATCCATGGGGAACTCTCAGAAATCCAGATGCTTCAGGTTAAAGGCAAATTGTCTTGCTTAGCAATTGAAATTTTGGGCTCAATTATAATTAATTGTAAATCTATAGGACTACTTCTATTTCTTCATCTAATTATACGGTGAGTCCTTGAATCAATAGTTTTCAAATTAATGGTAATCTTCAGACTAGAATACTTGTGGGCTCCAGGAAATGTAATTCAAAACCAATGATGCAATATTTGCCATGAGGAATTGTCGGAAAGATGTAGATTAAGTATCACCATACAATCAATTTTCTCCTAAGATCTTTTCCATAGCACATTTAAGAGAAAAACAAATTTAGAAAATTGATTTTTGTGGCATGTAATGCTGCTCTACAGTAGATACTAAATCCCTGCTTGCTCTAGAACACAGGTGTCAAACTCGCCCCATCACGTGACATATTGCGATGTTTTTTTTCCCTTCGTGGAGCTGGGGTGGGCGTGACCTGTGCATGATGCATCTGGCCTGCGGGCCAGCAGTTTGACACCCCTACTGAGGAAAAGAAACTAGCTTTTGTATAGCCATAGTATTTAGGCTTCTAATACTGCTTCATAGTGCTTTACAGATTCAGCCTATTGCCCCCAACAATCTGGTTCCCCATTTTACCAACCTGGGAAGAATGAAAGGCTGAGTCATATTATATTCATGGGATGCTTTGGTTCCCATCATCCCCAACCAACATATTTGGCCACATTTTCTAGGAATGATGATAGCTGAAGCTCAACCATCAGGAGACCCTTAGTTTAGGGAAGGCTGGGTGAGCCATTCAGTATTGGAAGTTATTGAGCTCTGTGTTAAACTCCAACTGAATGTTGCCTCAGACTTTTTCACTCTTGTAAAACTTGGCAGGCTGCATGAGACGGCCTCCTTTCTTGCATTACCTCATCAAATCCCATCTTCTCAGGGTGTTTTGGAGGAACTGTGACAAACTTGGAGGGTTCAATTGGAGGATGGTCAACTGGAAGAGATTAAGAACATTAAACCTATTACATTACACTGAGGCTGATAGTTTTCAAATGTATTCATGCTTTGAGTAAAAGAGACTTGAGCTCTGTGTATTGCTGAGTAGCATAGCTGTGAGGCACTAGTCAGTAGCATATAGCAAGAGGAATTCTTCCTTAGTTTGAAACATAGTCCTTTGTAAGTGTAGTTAGGGTATTGCTACAGCAAAGGAATAAAAGCTTATGAATAAAGCAGACCGTGCAACTCTTTTTCAAACAATGGACTATTATTGATTTTTGAAAGGCTGCACTTCCAAATATGCAGCTTTCTGAAGCCAGAGCTGGTGTAGCCTCCATCAGTGCAGTTCTTGGGGTGCCAAAAATGGTCCACGTAACACCCCTACTTTGCTAATTGCACTGGATGCTGGTTTACAGGTGCAATTCAAGGTGTTGGTAATATTTAAAGCTGTTCATAACATGGGTCCAGGCTACTTGAAGGACTGTCTCATCCCACTGGGATTGGCCCACCCCACCCACCATTGGTGGCAGAGGAGGCATGCTGAGGGCCCCATTGGCCAAGTATTCTGGCAGGTGGAGTCCAGGTAAAGAGACTTCTCTGCCCTTGCACCTGCCTTTGTCCCCCAGAGCAAGGTCCGTACCAACCCTCCTGATCTTCTACAAGAGCTTAAAAACCTGGCTCTGCCAGTTGGCTTGGGGCTTCAATGGCAGGGTTTCACATTGAGGCTGGTTGATAGATTAACAACTTTCTGGGGTCTATATTACTATGAGTACACTTCCTTCCTTACAATAAAAGTAGTCTTATTAAACTTAATTTACAACAGTGGGCAGTTCACAAGTGGTTGCATTTGAGGAAAGATTTCAGGAGCTTACAATTTAACCTGCCACCAGCAATTTGGCACTGTGATTGTTAAAACAAGTGAGACAGCTGTGTAAATAATATCCAAGACTCAGCCATCAAAACTGTGGTCCCCAATTCAAATTACAGCATCAGTTCCCATTAGGGTTAATCATAGTTTAGGGGTCTATACGATTTGGTGTATGTGTCTGTATCTGTGTAACATCTGTCAATGCCTTTAACCAAATGCATCTTTTTCAAAGATTGCAAGGCAGCTGTGCAATTCCACAAAAAGACACAGCTGCTTAAGGAGTTGCCAATATATGCTTCATGGATTCTTGTATACCCCAGACTGGCTTTTCCTCTTTAAATCTGAAGAGCTACATAGCCCTCTATGGTTCCCAGTGATGGATACTGATAAGCATTTTGGGCCAAGCCATGGTTGTTTCAAAACATTGACTCAGCATACTAAGTCAATATCAAACTATAGTGTGGTTTAACATGGGTCTACTTAGCTTCTGATTTGCCACCCTGACAAAAGTGCCTTAAGCCAGACAAGAGGACCTTGACAGCTAATGGCACTATTATTATTCTATGCTTTGCATGTTTCTGGCCCAATAATAGATGATGCAATATTGAAATGTTTATGTCTGTCATGATCAAAATCAATGTGGCAAACTAATAGTAGGGCTACTATATCTAGGTGGCAAAACTCCAGAGCTTACAGTTTGCTGCCATCTAATGGCTGGCCACTTGTAATAGCTATTTTTAAAATCTATCTAAAAATGAATTAGCAGTTTACACAGAAATATATATAAAAAAGTTCTTCAGATAATCAACATGCATTATTTTCCATCCTTTGGACCCATGAAGTTTTAACCTATTATCTAAGGAATTGAAATAATGGGACAGAGGGGTGGGAATGTTTGTTTCCAAAATGTATTCACTGCTGAATAGTTAATTAGAACACAATAAAAACACAAGATTTGTATCATTGGAAACCAAAATAGTAGGGATGTGAGCCAAACATGGAACTTACTCATCGCTTCACTTAGCATGTGAACAATATTGTCCGCTTCATCTTCTAGCATCTGGTGTGGCTTCAGCGGCACAGGAAGGTAACCATAATGTTCTCTGTTGCAAATGTACATCTGAATGTCTGGAACGAGAAGGAATACTGGAGATGCAGGAGAAAAACTGTGCTCGTAAAGAAAGGATGTTTCCATAGGGCTCCTGCCTGTCTTTAAGGGCAAGTCCTGAACTCCACCTTCCTCAAGATTCTTCTAAAGCAGTGGTTCTCAACCTTCCTAATGCCCCAACCCTTTAATACAATTCCTCATGTTGTGGTGACCCGCAACGGCTTAGTTTTTAAGACCATCGAAAATATGTGTTTTACGATGGTCTTAGGCAACCCCTGTGAAAGGGTCGTTCGACCCACAAAGGGGTTGTGACCCACAGGTTGAGAACCACTGTTCTAAAGGGTCAAAGGCTGCAGAGCCTCTACCACATAGCCAAACTGTCCCCTCTGTTATTCATACACATTAAACATGACACTGAACACAATAAACAGATCTCTGCCCTCTGTCTCAATGATGCAGACAAAAGAAAAAGGCAGCAGGAGGAAAGGAGTCGCAGTACAGCAAGCCTACGAGCAATTACTCTATTGTTAGATATGTTGTGGTTTTTATTCTGTATTTTAACTTTTGTAAGCAGCTCAGGATCAATCAGACTCGAGCCGCACAAAATTAATTAAAAGAAGAGTGTCCCCAACAGAGCAGTAAAAGAAAATGGAAGGGATAAACATAAAGATGGTTGAGTTTTTGATAATCTCTTGGAAAGAGGGCAAGGACAACCACAATGGCTTTAACTCTGAACGAACACAAATTAAGAAGAGAACAAGCAACGGAGCTGCCAAAAGAACATGCCTGAAAATGGTACTTTGTATTTTAGGAGGCTTGCTCAAAAAATGAAATAAAATCTACCCAAGAATCTTGAAACACTGGAGGTTTTTCAGAAGAGACTGGACAATCATTTGTCTGAAATAATACAGGATTTCTGCTTCAGCAGAGGGTTAGACTAGAAGGCCTCCAAAATCCCTTCCTACTCTATTATTCTCTTATTTTATCCTATTTCTTTTACACAGCATGACTACCACAGTCACTGATGCAGCCACAGTACAGTCCGGTGGGGGGAAAGTGGTTTTAGATCCCCCCAGCCAATGACTTCATTTTAACAAATGATTTCTTAAGGCCTTGGGTGGAAAAGTTCACAACTTTTAATTTGAAAGATGAGCTTCCAGGTGAGCAGGCATATTGATCTACATGGACAAACAATCCAGTTGGCTTTCCTGTTGGCTGTCAGATTAACAGCTTGCTTCTAATGCCAAACCAAGAATTACAACTAGACTGCCCTCTGTGAGGAGTAATTTGTCTATTCTCACTTCCTAATGAACGTGAATGCATTGCCCATGTTTGTACAATGAAGTTGTCCTTGGCTTGTTCAGCCTATGCATTTTCAACTGGCTTTGCTAAAATATAACCCCCTGTGAAGCTCCTGAACTACCAAAACATTGGGCACAGGACTCATCACAGCATCATCATCTCCAACTCAGAATGCAAGAGCCTTTAGAAACACTGGGCCCTTGATGGAGAAGGCTGGGCCAAAGAACCCGGCTGCAGCTTGACATGCTATTTTTGTCCCATGGGTAGGCAAGATGTGCTCCAATACACACCTGTCCTTTCTTTGGTTCTTGAGACTTGGCAGGGGAACTAGAAACCACTGAAACCAACAAGGGAAAAATAAAACATGTCCCAGTTACTGCAGTGGGCTGAAAAATGAAAGCAGCAGTTAAAATTTCCAGAAGACGCAGTTTAAGAAGCTGCAGACAAAACAAAGAGCATTCCCAGTATGAAGCTGAAAATAAATTGTAACTTTTTTAAAAAAAGAAATCTGTCTTTTTTTAACCAGCAGGGAAAAGAGAGAGGAATCCAAGCTTGGTCATCTGGTCTAGTTGTGGCCCAGTTTATTAATAACAGAAACATTTTCTGACATTTTAATACCACAGGGTTGTTTGTGGAGAGAATTATTGTGTGTGTCTGCTCCTTTACAATCTTCATATTCTAAGCCAAGCAGCTGACTACTATTCTTGTCAGTTCTCCGTTCATCTGTTAAATGCCATAATTGAGAAGAGGTGAAAATATTTTTCAGGTATCTGGTGTCCTCATTTCCAACTTCATGTCTACTTTCTCTTGTAAAATCATCATCATACTATCAATCATGATAGTATGTTTTAGTTTGCCAAGATTCTGTCTATATGTGAGGAACAATAAGTATTCTATTACCATTCAAACCGTGTTGAAATTTATTTATGATTTTTTTTAATTTTTGAAGCTCTCTTTATGTATAATAATGTTACAGGATATCCAAGTGCTCCTGAACTCACAATTTTTAAATGGCTCCTTACCAGCTTGGCGACTTGAGAAGGCAAAAACAATGATATCATCAAAGGTCCAGGTATAGTCTTGGTGTGGAGGATAAAATGCCAGCTTATCTGATGCCTCTTTTCTCAGATCAATCAAAAATGTGGAATGTAACATTGGGACTGCAAAGCAACCAGTTCTCTTCCATTCCCTGATCAGAGGATAATCTGGTGTCCTCTTGTAATAGCCCTAAAAAAAAAGAATATATAGTATTAAACTCTTCTTTTAAATTTCTTGCCTATAATAAATGACCGTGATCCTGCTTGCCAATATATTTATTCAAAAAGCTGAAAGCTATCTAAACTATTGTTACATTCAATACAGAGTATTATGTCAGGCTCCCCAAAACCAAGAAAAACATATTGTGGTTCTTTATTGTTTCTCATCTATAGATAGAATCTTATCAAAGTAAAGCATGCTACCATTCCCATAAAGCATACACTCTGGGAACTATTAGGCAGGAGTGTCTTCACTCTCTTTCTCTCATACAAAATATCTGAACCAATATGTCTCTTCCTCCTCTCAAATGCACTTCTTCCTTCCTGGAAATCCGAATTACATTCCATCACATCATTAATGATGGGATTCTCCTTTGGTTAAGGGGAAGATTTATAACCCAGTAAATGTAATCTCACTCTAGGTAGCTGTACTTGACATGAACTGGCAATTATTTTGTGCTAGTTTTGTGACTAGTTCTTTTAGTTATATAAACAGATGTCTAACAATACATTCTAGAAATACAACTTTTCAACATTGTTCTAAGATGCAAAGGTATCATACAAAAACAGGGAGATCTGAAGACTATTCCAAAATATGACTCACAAAAATAGTCGAGCCGAGCTGAAACATAATTCTGGTGAAGAATCAAGCTGTTTTTTCTCTTTATTGACCTGTCTTTAGCTCTTTCTCAACAATGTACTGGGATTTAATGGGGCTGTTCCTAGTTCGTAGGAATATAAATCCAGAAATGTATGCAAACCAAGTTAACTAGCCAACATCATGCCAAACATAAGAAGGTTTGGCTTCCCGTCCCATAAAACAGTTGATACATCCTATTCCAACTGCACATCTGAACTTCATATGTAAATCAGCAGTTAATCCCCAGAAGGGAAAGTCATAAAATAAGAATGAAGTCACTGGACTGAAAGTACAATATAAAAACTAGAGAAGGAGAAAAAAATGGTCCCTAAGTTGCTACTATATTTTAAGACTCTTCCCTTAATGGCTTAATTTTACTACGGCACAACACCATTTGCATAAGATGCAGCTAAACGGCTTTGAAAGAATGCTAAAATAAATTTGTAGACGAGACCTTCCAGGCTGAGGGGACCCAAGTATATGGGCCTTCAGTCTGATAGACCAGAGTTATCTTTCATTCGTATTATTTGTATCTTATTCATATGCTAATCACATTCTTGTTTTTCCCCTTGAGAGTTGAAAAAGAAATTCAAATTCTCTTGGATTCGATCTATTTTCCCTTGCTCATATATCTTGTTTAAATAAATAAAACAGTAACAATACGTGCCTGAGGTGTCATTCCACACCAGAAGTTAGAGTAGAGAGCTCGAGATTCAAGCATTGGAGCCACAAGAGTTTTATTCTCTGCTATCATTAGATTCAATACTTCTGGGTTGGTCAGAAAATTGTCAGTATCGATGAACTAGAAAAATGGAAATAAAAAAACATTAAATTTTATCCACCTAAATCCAACTGAAAGTAAAGCAGTTTTGATGTTCTTTTAATCCCAAACTGAATATTAACAGCTACAACTCCTGGAATTCTTGCGAATCAGCAAAAAGAACATAATGAAGACATGTCCATCAGAGATCTATCATCACAGGACTTTGGTGAGATTTTTACAGAACAGGCAAAATCAATGTACATTTCACAAAAGGCACACATAATGGGGAATGGGAAATGAAGAATACTTGTGAGATACAGGAAGGGATTAGTAAAAAATGTTCCATGTCATCATTGTTATTTATGTTAGCTTTGGAAAAATTGAATAGAGATATAAGGAGATGGAAGAATTGTTGGAGTGAGGATTAAAAGAGAAACTTATAAATAACAGGCATGTATTGGTGACCTAGTGATAATCTTGGAACATACTCTGGAGGAAATAGAAGTATTCCGTACAACATCAATTAAACTGGAATTTCTATCACTAAGCAAAGAGATCATATAAGACCGGATTTCTGCATCATGTAGTGACTGCAATCCCAGCATTCCTAGTTACAGTCTACTGAGAATCGTGGGGAAGGAAGGGAGGGAGGGAGGGAGGAAAAGGGAAGGGAAGGAAAGGAAAGGAGGAGAGAAGGAGGAAAGAAGGAAGGAAGGAAGGAAGGAAGGAAGGAAGGAAGGAAGGAAGGAAAGTTTTTAATCTTACCATGATGTAGTCAGACCACTTTTCCCTTGCAGTCCTCAGAGCAGCCTGTCTCAGTTTCATCACATGAGTGAATCTGGAATTTGGCCAGTGCTTTGGTCCAATTTCCTCTGGGTAAAACCTAACAAATGAAGAAAGTAAAAGAAACCTGTGTTTTCTGCCAGGCTGAGTATGTTTTTTTTTTCTTCTTAGTTCAGTATTTTGATTTTTAAAAAATCAGGTGGAACAAATATAGTCAGTCACCTCAAATGCTCCCAAAAGGTTAGAGCAGCAAATTTGAATGATGCTTCTGAACAAACACTTCCAAATTTATTCCTGGAGTGTGTACCAAGGACTTACTGGAACATACAGCTTCACTGCACTGCTTGTCCTATATGAGTGCTTGTGAATGACGGAGAACTGTACATAAATATGTTTTTTAAAAAAATTCCATAGACCTGGCACTCTAGGTTGGTAATCATACAAAAGTTTGCATGCAGAATTTCATCCAGGGGTGGACTTTTACAGAATAAACAGCTTGATAAAAGAATATGAAAAGTCACAGGCAAAAGATAGTTATCAAACTGCTTATGAAGAGGGAAAGCTCCGTATAGAAATATCACCAGTTACACAATAAACGATGGGATAACCATCATTTGCAACAGCCCACATTGTACGTTCCCAGAAATCACTGGCTGACCAAGAAGCAGAATGTGGGCTACTTGTTTTCTAGTCTGATCCAGCAGGGTAAAAGCAGCATTTTTAGATCTTTCAACAGCTTTGATCTGCAACCTCTATGTCTGAAAATAATTCTACTTGCTGCCTGTGAAAGAGGCCTGTGCAACACAGGTTTTGTTTTTTGTTTTTAACCTTTCAGGCTCCTTCTTTACTATCAGCAATAATAAAGCAGGAGAACTTTTTAAAAAGATATTCTTAAGCTGCAATTCTCTCTGCATTTATCTAGGAGTTTGTAGCACTGAATGCAATTAGCTTGCTTATGAATAGACATGGTACAGCTAGTTGTTTTACACTGTGTGCACAATTATTAGGCAAGTTGTATTTTGGAGGGTTAATTTTATTATTGAACAACTACAGAAGTCTCTGTCAATCCAAAATGCTAATAAATCTCAAACCTGAATATTTAAGAAAGTAATGTGAAAGTAAAAGTGAGGTTTTGGCTTTCTTAGGAGAATATCTATGTGTGTATACAATTATTGGGCAACTATTAGTGTGCAGAATTATTATGCAACTAAATGGAGAAATGAAAATCTGCCCATCTCACTCGTTTATTTTCATCTGTTAAAGTGAGAATAATAAACAAACAACTCAAAATGTACAAATAAACATTTCTGACATTTCAAAAAAAAATATATCAGTGACCAATATAGCACCCTTCTTTCAATGAGTCATAAACCTTCCATTCATGGACTGTCAGTTTCTTGATCTGTTGACGATCAACTTTTCATGCAGCAGCAACCACAGCCTCCCAGACACTGTTCGGAAAGGTGTTGTCAGCGTTCCAACTAACAAACTCCAACCCAATAAACTCCGAGACAAGCATTTTCTCAAAGTTCCATTTTATTAGAGTTGTCATATTGGTACAAATCTGAGAGTTCCGGGTTTTCTCTTCCCAATAGAAATTCAGAGATCCATCCCTTGCATCCACCAGTCCATCACATGGTCCAAGCAAATGTTGTCCCAAGTGGAGACATTCCTCCAGACACTCGTCTCCAGGTGCAGGGTAACATGTCCTTGACATTCTTAAGAAAGAATGTTGTTGAGTCTAATCTTCCACATCTCTATGAAATTCCCCCTTCCAAATTCTGAGGCACTGAATGTGGCAGCCTCGAAGCTTCCAAGTAAAATATGGCTTCCAAGGCTGACAGGTGTACAGTTTTACTTCACCGTAAATCTCCCATTTAAGAAGGGCCCACAAGTTCTCAATAGGATTTAGGTCAGGTGAAGAAGGGGGCATTATTCTTTCATCTTTAAGGCCTTTAACTGGCTAGCCACGCAGTGGAGTACTTCAACCCATGCGATGGAGCATTGTCCTGCATAAAAATCATGGTTTCTTAAAAGATGCAGACTTTTTCCAGGACCCTGCTTGAAGAAAGCGTCCTCTAAAAATTGACAATAGGTTTGGGAGTTGATTTTGAATCCATCTTCAACCTGAAAAGGTCCAACTAATTCATCTTCAATTATACCAGCCCATAATAGTATCCCACCTCCACTCTGCTGGCATTTGAGTCGAAGTGGAGCTCTGTGCCCATTACTGATCCAGCCATGGGCCCATCCATCTCGTCCGTCAAGGGTCACTCTCATATCTCCATAAAACCTTTGAAAAATCTGTCTTCAGATATAATTTGGCTCAGTTTCAACTTATGTGTCTTGTTCAGTGGTGAGCTTTCCTTACCTTGGCCATATCTCTGAGCACTTAATACCTTGTACTTCTGGGCACTGCAGGTAGGTTGCAGTTCTGGAATATGACAGCACTGGAGGATAATGGGTTCCTGGTCGCTTCACGTTTGATTCTTCTCAAATTTTTGGCAGTTAATGTGTGTCTTTTTTTTCTCAACACATTTCTTGCGACCCTGTTAACTTTTTGCAACAAAACGTTTGATGATTTTGTGATCATGCCCGAGTATCCTAGCAATTTCAAGAACGCTACAACCCTCTGAATGCATTTTTTTAAAAAAAAAAACAATTTTTGACTTTTCAGAGTCAGTTAAATCTCTTTTTGGTCCATTTTGCCTGAGGCAAAGAATCTGCCTAATAATTATGCACACCTTAATATAGGGCGTTGATCTCCTTATAGGCTACATCACCTCATGCGCTTATATCCAATAAGCATTCAATTTTATATAGCTTGGAGTGGAAGATATATGTAAAAATGATGATATGGTCAAAAGATTCCCTTGCCTAATAATTGTGCACACTGTGTATATCAGGGGTCCCCAATCCCCAGTCCATGGACTCGCACTGGGCTGCGCAAACAAGTGAAACCCCATCTGTGGGATGCAGGCAGCATACCAACCACATCCCCTCCAAACCGTGGAAAAACCTCTCTTGATGGTCACTGGTGCCCAAAAGGTTGGGCCTTATATTATTCCACCATTACCTGCAAATTGCAACAGTGGTTAACAAAACAGATTCTACACACACAGCTAAAGTTTATCTGGTCTAGGTGGTCCTGTTTTTTTACTACTACTTTCCTGGAGGGACAGAAAATTAGTGTGGTGCAAACCTCAAAAACAAAATCACGCACACTTTCAATATCCTGCTTAGGCATTTTGAACAGGAGATGTGTTCTGTAGTAGTGCCAAGATTTGGCACGGAAGCCTAGCACAGCAAATTTTCCTGGCAAATTTCTACTCTAGATTGAAAGAGGTTAGGGTATAATATGAGTCATGCAAGATCAAAGCAGAGGCCTTTTGGATTGACATTCGGTTCCCTGAATGGCTTCTGGAATTTCCGACGCAAAGATTTGCGGTTCCCAATGCTGGTGGCAAAATATAATCAGTTGATTAATGGCCATTGGTAGCCTTACCGTACACAGCAATAGTTTTATCCTTCAACTAAATAATGATTAGAATATAGCTGTGTGTGGATTTGTATCAAAAATTCAGTAGAAATTCAGAAAATAATGACACAACAGAGAATTAATTGCTAACTGTAGCAGCATCCATAGGAGGTAAACAGGGGACCAGAGAGAGACACAAGAGGTATTACAGTTTCACAATGCAAGCCTCATTCCTTTCTCTATACCTGTTGCAATGTTACGCTATTTGCCCCAAACAGATAGCTCTTGAGATACATCATTACCTCCCTGCCGTTGTCATTTTGATGAAAGTCATGTGTCATGTTTTTCAGCTGACACAAGCTTTGCTGGTGTTTTCTTCACCAGAACATCCATTAATACCAAAAAGCTAACCACACTACTGAGCACATATGCCAGTGGAGCTGTGGTGGCACAGTGGTTAAAATGCAGTATTGCAGGCTAACTCTGCTCACAGCCAGGAGTTCGATCCTAACTGCCTCAAGGTTGCCTCGCCCTTCCATCCTTCCGATATCAGTAAAATGAGGGCCCATATTATTGGGGACAATATGCTGACATTATAAACCATTCAGAGAGTGCTATAAAGCACTATAAAACAGCATATAAATCAGAGTGCTACTCCTATTGCTATTGATGTAGTAGCAGGAATCCACAATCCAGGAACACCTTACCCTATATAAATAACTCTCCAATGTCATGTGCTGAATTAGAACAACTGTCCTTAGAACAGCAGGGCCAATGGAGAGGTATAGTTTAGTGGATTCTGTTCTTCCCTCCCACCTGTCCCAGCAGGCTGAAAAAGTTGAGCTACAGCTGAAACAAAGCTCCAAAAGCCATCTTTTCCTCCAAACAGCCAATCAAACTTATCCTTGGAGTTGTCCAGAACTCCCACAGGGCTGTAGCCAGATTTGGAAAAGTGCATTGGCACATCTGACTGGACTTCATGGGGGTAGCATGACATCAGACACCATTTTTGAAGACAGCTCTGTGTTGAACGAAATAGCTAGTGGGGAAGAGGGCAGGCTGAGAGAAAATTGTGGAATCTCCCATTTTTTCCCTACTTGTCAATCCAATAAAACTTCTGTATGTGTATCGTAGAGAGCCAATTCTCAATTCACCGCCCATTAAGCAAGCATCAGGAGGATTTTAGGGAGAGGAAAACCCACCATATTTTCAAAATATCTAAGGTTAACCAAGAATTTTAATCCCAACCTGCCTTCCCAAGCTTAATGTGCTGACACTTGTTCCACCAAGTAACTTAGAAATTTGCTGCAATACTTACTGAGGGTCATCCATTGGCCTCCATTCGACATAGTGGTAGAGTTTTTGTACGTTCTTCAACCATTCTCTCAGCATGGCAGTTGTATTGTCAATGTTATGATCAGTGGCCACCCTAAAGAGAAAGAATAGACTTAAAAAAACAATTACTTGCATTTACCTCTTTGAGAAGGCAACTGCTGGCTGGCAGCAGCTACACTATTAAGACTTTCCTGAAAAAAGAAGATATACAGGGTTAGTGCCCTGGAGCATCTTCTCCAGGGCACTAACCTCTGCAGCAGCATTTCAAAAGGATATTGACAAGAATCAGAGAATCCTAGAATTGGAAAAAGCCATTATGTCTAGCTCCCTGCTCAACACAATAATACAAATTAAAACATTCCAGACAAATGACTGTCTAGTTTCTGCCTGAAAATAACCAAATCAAAGGGAGCCATTCTGGGTCATTAGTTCCAATGTTGAACTGTTCATAGTTCACTGAGTAAGTTTTAGTTTTGAGCAAATGCATACTAATAAAGGTCAGGATAATTTATCAGTTGGAAGAAAGTAATTAGGTTTTGTCAGAACACAATACTGTTAACATTTTTAACAGACACATACTCATATTCATATATTGCTTATGCTTGTGAACGTTGTGTGAATTAAACTAATAACCCAAAGGCAGAACAGAGAGAGTCAGGGCAAAGAGTAAAACTCTGGTAAGGACTGCTCACAAGCTCAGGATTTATGTATCTGACAAATAAGACTGACACAGATCAAGGCCTGTAGCTACTTTGGAGCAATAACGTTCTCTTAGAAGATCAGAGAGATTACTTATGAATAGTATCTTTCTATTCAATTCAAATTACAAAAGGTACAACTTTTCTTACCAATCCACTTTGATGAAAGCACCCAGTCCAGAAAATCATCTGTCTTTCTATTCTGCTTGAGGAAACATTCCATATCATCTACCTCCATAGTTTTACAAGATCAGGCTAGACCAACTCAGGACAGCCTTTTATCTTTTTAAATTTGGAAAACTCTTTAAAGTGACAAGTGATGAGCCAGAATATGATTGGTTCAGTTATCTTCCTCCCCACCCTAATTTTGAAACACCCTTCCCAGACACAAGAACCATTGGTACTCAGCCTGATAGCTCTACAATGTTGAGAAAAAAGTTTTTGCCCAGGGTGTTAGACTTCATACTATTTTAATCAGCTTTTGTTGATCCTGTTTTATCCTATCTTATCCACATGTAGTTTGTAATATTTTAAAACTTGTGAATTTTTTCAAAAGGGGGGAAGGAGGAAGGAAGGAAGGAAGGAAGGAAGGAAGGTTAAAGTTACACCTGGTGCTAGTTCTGATTATATATGAAAACATCCCTTGCAACAGCTAGGAATATATATCTCCCTATCATCAGAAGACCGTCCATGACTCTAATCTTCTTTATTCATTAACAGGATCTTGCAATTGCATTCTGTGGATCTAAGACAAGATCTGTTTGTGGAAAGTTAAAACCTTTTAAACTGGGGAGGTGACAGCAATTTAGTGAACAACAACTCAATGTAGAAATATAAACACACCACACCAGTATATCACCTTTTCTGCTTTATTGAAATAATAATTCCCCTGCTTCTTGGTATGGGGAGATATGGATATAGAAATTTTTACTGAAGCAAAAAGAAAAGAAAAGAAAAGAAAAAACCCTACATGCACATCTGTGCTTCCGTTTAACCTGCCAAGCAGAGGAGGGAGATTATGAAAGAGACCCAAGGCTTACACATATGTTCTCTTCATGGGGGTGGCAGAAAGTTTCTGGGTCATTTGTGATGTGATATGAAAATGCTAGAATAGATAACATCTCCAAGGGGAGATAAATACATTCACTGCAAACATGATGAAATTTAGAACAGAATACAAAAAAGACTGCATGTTGCCAATTTTGATTTTGCATCTTCTTTATAAAAAGGAATAAGAAATAGGATCGCATCTTCATTTCTCCTTCACACTTCTTTCATATTTTGGGATATTTGATTAACAGCCCATTGATAGCCTTAGGATATTTGCCTCATAAAGCTGCAAATAATTAGACACAGGATTTCAGACCTAAATTTTTGAGAGGTCGTTTTTCTAAAAGTCATGACTCTAGCCCTTGTGTTAGACAATATACTCCTGAACAGATAGAGAACATTTCTACAAACCAAACTGTTGTGAATATTTTTATTTAAAAGCAGTAAGCATGTTATCATGTATACAAATGCTTATACTCTCTTTACATCAAATCTATACACACAGAGATGCAGATTCCTCTGTTTTTTTTTCTTTATGGCACACAATCCAGTTTTACTACTCATTCTTGTAGCCATCATCTCTTGTTTCCTAGTCAGTACCCTCTGAAAAGAAATTGGGAGAGGAGGGAGGAAGGAAGAAAGTTTTTAGAACAAGTCATTTATAGGTTGAGACTGACAACTTAAAGCATAACTATCCAATCAGATATTTATTTTACTGAAAGATAACTAAAAGAAGAGGAACATTTTTATTTGGCAATAAAATGGCTGACTATAACAATTTTGTATTTAACAAATAGAGTGTTATGACATCTAGATAATATTGAGCAAATCGGTCAGAGAATTAACAAAAAAATTCCATCTTTCTTCCATGTGTACATCCCTGTCTTGAGCCTCTGCTTATTTGCTTTGTGACTCGTGTCAGGGAGCAGAGAACAGCCTATTTTGCTATTTTTTTTAATCCTGGTAGGAAAGCTACCTTAATTTCTACCAAAAGAAACATTTTGTGCTTCCTGGTTTCCAAGATTAAGTACCACATTGTGGTTTATGCAGAACAGGGAGAGAAAACACACCCCTAATACAAACATGTTTATTCCTCTATTTCCCCAACATGATATGAAATGCAATACTCTTATTAGTTTGGGTAGCATATAGGATACACACAAAAAATGTGTGCTGCACTAATTATCGTGGGCAGAAAAACATTGCAGAGAAAAAGTAAAATTAAATTCTAGTACACCTGCGCATTATAACGATACCAAATAAAATTTTGAAGATTTCAGTGATATGAACAAAGCAATCACTATGATGTTTTTGTAGAGTTAGCAAAAGGTATGTTTTCAACATTTCGTTACACTTTCAAAATACTATATTTTTCCTCATAGCAGGAAAAGTTTTAGGTAGATATTTTTTAAAAGTCAAAAAAATTATAGTTTTCCACTAGAGGAACCTCTGCTCTGTATGTTTTACCTCACTTTAAAGATGCTTACAAACCAAAACACCTTAGCATTAACAATCAAAAGATATTATGCAGCAATTATTTTGCGTTCTCCTTAGCAATGGAAGGAGAAATGAACAGTGCAGCAGAAATAGTTGAAGTGGGAAAATATAGAAAGCTTGCCAATGAAATACAACTTTTGTTTGACCAGATCATGCAAACTGTAAGATTCCAGCAACTACACAAGGGGTTGCACAACAAAAGATTTATAGGGACTGGAGGCACATTTGGCCAACAGTAGTCATATTTTTAAATGAACAAATATGTAAGACTACAGATGCCATAAAGAAAAGATTAATAACAGGATCATAATCCTCACTCAGAACTGCCAACAGTTTGCTTCACCAAAGAAAAATAATGCTTCCTTGGAATTAGAAATTTGTATGCCTTGTCTTCTAACTCAGCCAAGGAAACACCAATCCAGTCTTCCCTACTGGGAAACTTCCAGATGTGTTACAACTACATCTTCCAGAATTCCCAATCAATATAATATAATTGGAAGTTCTGAGAGTTGTAGTCCCAATATATCTACAGGTTTGTTTGATCATAGTTTATGGATATTGCTTTGCTTGTTCAAGCCAAAGCCAGTAAACTGCCTTATAGCTTTGTGTGATGTGTGAATCTAGTATCAGAAGGAAACTTAGAGAAGGCAGGGATTTCATCGCTGCACCATTGTTGCAAATCTTCCCGCGTGGCATGGTGAAAGGCTGGTCTTACTTATCCAGGTACACCCTCCAGATTTAATATCGCAATTAAAGGCATCCACAATGAAATGATTTAGAAAAAACAAAACCTCAAGGTCATAGCTGAAGTCCATCCCTTTTGTGTGCAGACTGGAACTACACCATTGAAACCCCACCCTTTTTAATTCTGACCTGTGGCACACAGAAAGGGATAGCTTTCAACCAGTGGTGGTATTCTACAGATTCGGCCCGGTTCTGCTGAGTCAGTAGCAGCGATAAGCGGCGGAGACCAAACCAGTTCTCTCTGCCGCTCTGCTGTTGGGCCCGCCTGCCCAGGTTCCTATACACACCTTTATCCTCTGCTTTTGAAGCACAGCTGCTTTGCACGGCACAGCAGAGTGCTGCGCAGCAGCTGCTGAAGCGACTGGGAGAGTGCAGGCTTGCAGGAGGTGAGTTGGAATACCACTGCGCCTGCGCAAACACCTCTGCACCTGAACAAAGTGCACGTTTGGCACGCACACGCAAAATGTGTGCACATGTGCAAAGCATGCCCACCAAGCCACGCCCACCGAACCGGTGGTAAAACTTTTTGAATCCCACCACTGATTTCAACAATACAATTGAAATCACTATTTTCTCTTTGATTTACTTATTTTTTACCCCTTTCCCTGATTTCTCCAATCAGAACATCTCAGAACTGTTATCTATACCAGCATTTTCTAGAGGTCACTTAATTTTTTCAGGTTTCTACAGAAACCCAAGGGTAAAAATTGGCCGTTGGTTTTACGAATAGCATAACTTTATTAAAATTGTTATAAAGATAAAAACAGTAAATAATATATAGAACAAAAAAGAAGAGGGGAAAAAGAGGAAACAAAGCCAAAAGTGCACAAAAGGGGGAAAAAAAGTCTAAAGAAGTAGTTTCCAATTTTCTTTATAACTATTTTAAATTAATATAAATTTACCTCTTATTCTATGATTGCATCATAATTTTTACTTCTATAATTATTTTTATATTATCAAAACCATAAGCCATAAGTTCATCTTTTTTCTGTTTCATCCAAAAAGTTTATAAAGGTTTCCAGTAAACCATAGAATTATTGAATGTCTTTTTCTCTTATCAAAGACACCAATTTGGCCATCTCTACAAGTTCCACCCATCTTCAGG